ATATATTAGGTAAATTTACTACAGAGAAGAGAAGAACCTTTTTTTTAAGAACCTTTTTCTTAATGCTTATTTTTTCCCTAAAAGGATGTAAAGAAGAAATAAAAAAGAAGATATGGGGATGTTAATAGAAGAGGGAAAGGGAAATAATAGAGTAAAGAAATTGAGAACAGACAATAATCCCCTCATAAATAGAACCCAAGGCTCAGAAAAAAATAGAAAATTAGAGAACTAAGATAAGGATTGAGTTAGAAAGAAGTTGAGTTTAAAGCAGTAAAAACAGTTTAAAGACACTCCAAAAAGACTAATGGGAAACTTTGAGCAATTTTGCATAAAACACAGCTGTATCTGTATATCGTGGATTAGCATGCAGAAATAGACAAAAATGCTTATAGAATTCTGGCAAGAGGAATCAGTACAAATTTGGTGGAAGAAAATGATTTTATAATAAAAGGACACATTTTAAGTGTGCAAGGTATCTTCAAGAATATTCCTAGAGTTAAATAGGGGGAAAGATTATAACAGTGAAAGCAAAAGGTAGACGTACAGAGGGTAGATGAGAATTGTGGAAGAGAACGACCCCCCCTTTTCTTATTTTTATTTTTTAATTTTGTATTATTTTTATATTTTCTTGGACGTGCTGTGCAGCATGTGGGATCTTAGTTCCCTGACCAGGAATCAAACCCGCGCCCCTTGCCTTGGAGGTGCAGAGTCTTAACCACCAGGGAAGTCCCCCCTGCCCCACTTCTTTTCATGTGTACATTCTTCACAAGATTAGAGTATAAAAGGTGTTTAGAAAAATGACTGTACTTCTGTACGACAAAGTATGTTGTAGAGGAACTTTAGTTTTTTTTCTCTTTAGACACAGCTGGGATAGTACAGATAACAACATGCAAACAAGATATTTAGGTCTGTATGAAAACAGTCTGAATTGACAGATCTTATTTGGATAAGGACAGCAATAATCAGGAATAAAATTAGCAAATATGGAATTGGATAGTGGGATTATTTGTGCATTTGAAAATAAAGGTTATGAAATGTATAGAAAGGGAAACTACTTTACATGCAGTGAAAACAAATGCAAAACCTCTCAAAAGTGGACAGTTTGCCAAAGGTAGATAAATTAAGCTTAGGATAGAAAATACTCAGAATGTGAAAAAAGTGGTCTAGGAGCCTCAGCTTCCTTTCTGTGGGGATGCCAGATTATACTGAGAATGGTTAGAGGATTTTTTTTTTTTAATAGTGCAAATGGAAGCAAAATGATCAAATCTGTGAAGAGGGTAAAAGCTCCTGGTGTCTTAGCTGAACTGTCGAGATTTTAAAGATTGAGTAGAAACCTCAACAAGCAGTTTTAATGGAATATGGACCAAATGAGAAATGACACAGGTAATGATACAGGAAACATTAGCCATGCCTTTTCTCAAAGGGGAAAAGAAGGAATAATAAATAGTAGGAAAGAAGCCTACTGACATTACTCAGTTCTCAGTATAAAATATTTGTAGGAATATTTTAAAGGCAGGAGGGCCAGCAAATGAGCCGAGAAGGTTTTGGGTTTTTTTTTTAGTGGAAGAAAATAACTGATTAGATAAAATCATTGCTTTTGACTGAAGAAGCCATGATTGCCTTTCAAAGATATTATCCACATATACCTTAGAGAGGAAGATTCAAAAGTTATTTGCTGAATAAAAATAAAGTAAGATGGCATACTGTACCTAGTTTCATCTGATGGGTATCTTGACATCTCTCTTTTTTGCCAGTACCCAAGGTATGATAAATTTCCCAAGATAAACTATATGCTTTAACTTGCCAGTAGCTCTTAAAACTTTAAAAGTATATGTTGTTTAAACCAACAATTCCACTTCTAGGAATATCTCCCACAGATCTACTCACACAAGTAAGTATATGTACAAGGAAGGTCATTGCAGCATTGCTTGTAATAGCAAAAGTTGAGAGACCAAAAGTGAGGAATGGATGAATAATTATGGCAGACCCCATACCCCATGAAATTCTGTGCATCCACTAAAAAGAATGAAGTAGATTTGTGTGTACTGAGACACAGGGCTGTCCGTGTTACACACTCAGGTGAATTTGTGTGTGTGTGTGTGTGTTTTTGTGGTACACGGGCCTCTCACTGTTGTGGCCACTCCCGTTGCGGAGCACAGGCTCCGGATGCGCAGACTCAGCGGCCATGGCTCACGGGCCCAGCCGCTCCGCGGCATGTGGGATCTTCCCGGACCAGGGCACGAACCCACGTCCCCTGCATCGGCAGGCAGACACTCAACCACCGCGCCACCAGGGAAGCCCAGGTGAATTTAAAAAATGCGTAACAGGGGACTTCCCTTGCGGTCCAGTGGTTGAGACTCCGCGCTTCCACTGCAGGGGCGCAGGTTCTATTCCTGGTTGGGGAACTAGGATCCCGCATGCTGTGCGGCCCGGAGGGCCCCCCGCCCCCCCCCAAAAAAGATACGTAACAGTAAGTGTAGTATCCTACTTTAAAAATTCCTATATGCATATGTGTAGAAAGTGGCCTGGAAGTATATATACTAAACTGCTAACAGTGGTTACTCTTAGTAAGTAGAAGAGGTGGACTTTACTTTTCTATTTTTATCCTTCTGTATTTTTACAACAAACATATATCTAAATTTTTTAAACCTGAAATTTATCTGAAGGAGAAAAAAGCCAAGCCTTTGGGAGCCAACCTTTTCCCCCCAAACCCTGGTTCAATTCCTCTTCTCTCATCTTGGCCTGTACAGTTTACCACAAATAAGCACTATAGGCACAATTTATTTTATTATTGAGAGTAGGTTCACAAATAAAGTTCCTGGTTTCTAGTTAGCTTGTTACAAAATTCAAGTTCTACATGTTGTTGTTGTTTTTGTTTTTGTTTTTTCGGTACGTGGGCCTCTCACTGTTGGGGCCCCTCCCGTTGCGGAGCACAGGCTCCGGACGCGCAGGCTCAGCGGCCATGGCTCACGGGCCCAGCCGCTCCGCGGCATGTGCGATCTTCCCAGACCGGGGCACGAACCCGTGTCCCCTGCATCGGCAGGCGGACTCTCAACCACTGCGCCACCAGGGAAGCCCGTTGTTGTTGTTTTTAGTACCAAGTGGTGGCTTCTGGGTAAAGTCTGGTTTGTTTGGTCAAGCATTAACTGAACATTTGTTAAGTGCCAACTATGTGCCAAGCCCTGGGGAATTCAAACATCCTAGTCCCTCAGCTCTTCTACCTGATGGTTCCCTCCTCCTCAGTGGCTTGGCCATCCCATCCCCAGCCCCAGTGGTCGCATTCAGGACTTCCCAATTCTCGTGTGCTCACCTACGTTTGAAAGGCAATCCCCTTAAACTTACTGCGATTTAGACTCCATATGTGAATTTTCAAAAAGCCACTGCCTACCTTCTCCATGAAAATAGTTCCCTAAAATGGACATCTCTTTTTACCTCAACTTCTCTAAATAACAGGAACAGGAGATGATTTAGCAAAGGAGAAAGGAAAATATTGAGGGGGCGCGGGGGGGGGGGGAAATGTTTGTGTTTACAAAGGAAAAGGGGCATTTGTGAAAGAGTTGATATTTGTGAACAAAAACATATGTCAATCACTGTTGGAGAGAGGGAAGTATGATACATAATCCTGTTCTAAAGTATATGTATAATGTATAAATATTTTTGGAGTAAAAATATTTATATCTCTCTCCAGAGAGAAAGTGGCTGGATCACATTATCTCTTTGAAGTTCTAGTTCTGTAGATTCAAGCATTTTCTTTAAAAAGCAATTTAAAAATTATGACGAGAAGATGTTTAGACTAAGATTTATATGATACATATGTGCAGGATCACTATTTCTGAAACTGCATTCTTCAGTATGTCGTGCCTTTTGCTTCTTAAATCCATGAAACACGACTTTAAATAAAAGTTTTATTTGGGGTCATTAAAATAAGAAGGGGATAGAATAATCCTTGCTATTAGTTCTTGTTGTATTACATTATTATATTACATTATATTATTAGAAAGTAATTTGTAGGACTTCCCTGGTGGTGCAGTGGTTAAGAATCCTCCTGCTAATGCAGAGGACACGGGATTGAGCCCTGGTCCGGGAAGATCCCACGTGGCGCGGAGCAACTAAGCCCGTGCGCCACAACTACTGAGACTGAATCCACGAGCCACAACCACTGAGCCCGCATGCCACAACTACTGAAGGCCGTGCACCTAGAGTCGGTGCTCTGCAACAGAGAGAAGCCACCGCAATGAGAGGCCCGCGCACCGCATGGAGGAGTAGCCCCCGCTCGCCGCAGCTAGAGAAAGCCCGTGCGCAGCAACGAAGACTTAATGCAGCCATAAATAAATAAATAAACAAACTAACAAATAAATAAATTTAACTAGTAAGAACCTGCTGTATATATTAAAATAAATAAATAAATAAAAGTAATTTGTATGAGTATCTTCAGGATTTTTTATAACAGTACATTTCCATTTTTGAAACTACAGACTCCATCTTGCAAAACTCTTTTTTTATTCTCCATTTTTTTATTGTGATAAAATATGCATACCATAAAATTTACCATCTTAACCATTTTGAAGTGTACTGTTCATCAGTATTAAATACATTCATAACGTACATCCGTCACCACCATCCATCTCCAGAACTCTTTCCTTCTTCACAAACTGGAACTAATTCTGCACACGGCAAAATAAAGTGTACATGGTAATTTTGGTTTTCAAAATACTGTGAGAGCCAATGGTTATATAAATAAGTGAATGTATATACTCTTTCCTTATTTGTTCTTAATCCAAATTAATCTTAATTTTATCTTTTTTCTACAGTGAGTTAAATATATATCGCCACATATCAAGTAAGCTGTTCAGTTTTTTCTTCTTCTGAGTCATTATTCCACCGGCTTTATGTTCCAAATATATTCCCCACACATTAATACGTCAAGAGGATTCTAGCACACAGAGATCTGTATTCCCATTTTACCTTGCCGAGCGGCTCATCTCATGTTCTTGTTGTAGGGGTTTGACCAGCTCCGACTTGAAGGGTTGCTCTGTGACGTGACCCTGATGCCAGGGGACACAGATGACGCCTTCCCTGTGCACAGAGTCATGATGGCCTCTGCTAGTGATTACTTCAAGGCTATGTTCACAGGTAGCGTGCCTTTCTAAACTCTGCTTCCACGTTAAAACAGTATGAAAAATATGTGTTTAAATCCTTGTATTGGTAAAGGAAGATTCAGTTCTTTTGGTCAGTGTCTTTACAAGAAGAAAGAGGAGTTTCAAAAGGAATAGACACCCAGTATGTACAGTTGTGGGTGGCCCTTTTTTAACCTGGAAAACGGATGTACCTTTCTTATTCTTCTGTCCACCTTTATCTCATAGCTTTGCTTTCCCAGACACATATCTGAATGGGCCATCAGAGATTAATACAATCCCCACTAATACAATCTCTAATCCATCAGAAGATCTGAAGTGACAGGAGAACATTTTGGAAGCCCTTGCATTGTATACCACCTCCATTAGTATAAAGATATTCCTTTTTAAGTATTCTCTTTTAACTGTAAAATATGAAGAAACCTGACTCTGATACAAATGCTGCACAGAATAAAATTTCCCTGATTTTATCATATCTAGTTAGCAGCAGAAGTGAGTTTGACCTTAATTAAATTATCCACGGTCATTTAATGGAATGTCTTTTTATTTAAGGTGGAATGAAAGAACAAGATTTAATGTGCATTAAGCTTCATGGCGTGAGCAAAGTCGGTTTAAGGAAAATTATTGATTTCATTTACACTGCAAAGCTTTCTCTTAATATGGACAACCTTCAAGACACACTGGAAGCTGCCAGTTTTCTACAGATTCTGCCGGTTTTGGACTTCTGCAAAGTATTTCTCATATCTGGGGTAAGACATTTTCAAATCAAATCTTTTCCTGCGGTGGACTCCGTCATAGCCTGTTTAGAGTAGACTCATGAATCTGTTGTATAGACGTGAAACTCTGGCCATTAGAGAGAGGTGTCATGTCGTATATGGTCTAGAAGCAGGTCGATGGGAAAATATTACAGGTGCATTTTTACAAAATAGAATCATTTAAGAAAGGCCTTCTGTGTAATCAAATGACATTAGACAGTAATAGTGTTTGATAACGATATATTCCTTAACCTCTTTGTTAACGTTACGTATTATAATTTGGTTTTATTCACCTTAATGATTTTATACAAACATGTTCCTTAAATGGAATTCTGTGGGAAAGTAATCTGAGGTTCTAGAAGTCTTTTAAGATAGACTCAGTCATTTTTTTCTTCCTTTAAATATGGGAGTTGGATCCTGAGAAGAAGTAACATCGATGTGTAAATCTGTAAGGATATGAGTCTTGATTCTATAGAGACACATCACCTACTGAGTCATTTTCAGCCTTTTTTAATAGATAAAAGAGGGTACATACAACCACCAATCAGTGAACTACTTACAGTCACCCGGTTCCTGAGGACAGTGCCTCATTTTAGTTGAGACCCTTAAATTAATAACACTTGATACTTACACTTATCAGTTCTTAACATTGCTTTGCACTGATCTTAGCAATACGTGGTTGTCCTGAGCCAAACTAGGTACAGTGTCATAATTTCCTTGGAACTAATCACTAACCATAGACACTGTTGACCTATTGTACTTATCACTTAAGATATTCGTTGTGATCAGTTCCTTAGTTCGAAAGAAAAGAACCAAACCGGGTAAAGCATGATTTGTGAAGTTATAAAAATATACACGTCAAAATAACGGTATTAAAAAATAATTTGGGGGCTTCCCTGGTGGCGCAGTGGTTGAGAGTCCGCCTGCCGATGCAGGGGACACGGGTTCGTGCCCCGGTCCGGGAAGATCCCACATGCCGCTGAGCCTGCGCGTCCGGAGCCTGTGCTCCGCAACGGGAGAGGCCACAACAGTGAGAGGCCCGCGTACCGCAAAACAAAAACAAGCAAACAAACAAAAAAAAAGAATTTTGTTCTAGATAACTCTATTTAAAGCAAGTTCATCTCAAGATGATATCATAGTAATTTTGCAATATTGACAAATTTCCTGTAATTAGAATGTTGTTGGTTCCTTAACCTCCTTGAAGCATTTATTATAACTATGTTTTTGCCCTTTTGAAAATTTCTTCATTTTTATAAACACTCAATGTTGTCTTAAAGGTTATGTTTTTCATTCCTAGTGTCTCTGCAGATATCCTAAAGCCCGTTTCTAAAGGAGAAGAGACATGTCCCTGACAAAGCTTACTTGTGCTATAGTTTACGCCAACACTCTTCATTTTAGAACTTTCTTGCCTATGAGCTTTGAGGAAACAGCTATTTTCTTAGTACCATACTGTTTACTTGTCTTTCATCCTGTTTGCTTAGGATATGTCTATGTGATTTTACGTTGGAAATCTTCCCTCTCAGAATCCATGCTAATTTTTGAGAAAAGTTGGTGGATTATTAGTTTAAGGATTATATAAAATCCAACTTTTCCTTTATCCTTCTTTCATGCATTCCATATCTTAGTTAAATATTCAGGCTTACTCTATTACCCCTTTCCTTCTCAGCAGTCAAATGAATCAGGAAAAACAGTAGCCCTGGGTGCCTTTCCTCTGTATAAGAACTGAAAGTTTCAAGATAATATAAATATTTTTCAAAGGTAGATTTGTTTTTATTTCTCCCACAAGCTAAGTTATTTTAGATAATTTAAAAATATAACAGCCTCATGATTGTGTGCTTAACCCAAATGTTTTGAGGAAATAGGTTTATGTTTTTAATGATATAGTAGGATTATAGTTCATATAACCAAAACACTACTTGGGTTTGAGCGTCTAGAAAGAAAAATTAGCTTCGAACACAGTTCTTTTGTATCCGAACTTAACCATGTGTGTGGATGAAGAGGAGCAGTGGTACATAAAATGTGAGTCAGCAAATCATCCACTAAGCATTTATATGTTAATTTTGAATGATAACTTTCAATATAATAATTGACAGATATACACTACTATACATAAAATAGATCACTAATAAGGACCTACTGTATAGCACAGGAAGCTCTACTCAGTACTCTGTAATGACCTACATGGGAGAAGAATCTAAAAAAGAGTGGGTATATGTATAACTGATTCACTTTGCTGTATACCTGAAACTAACACAACATTGTAAATCAACCATACTCCAATAAAACTTTTTTTAAAATAAAAATTAAGGGCTTCCCTGGTGGCGCAGTGGTTAAGAATACACCTGCCGGGCTTCCCTGGTGGCGGAGTTGTTGAGAGTCCGCCTACCGATGCAGGGGACATGGGTTCGTGTCCCGGTCTGGGAAGATCCCACACGCCGTGGAGCGGCTGGGCCCCTGAGCCGTGGCCGCTGAGCCTGCGCGTCTGGAGCCTGTGCTCCGCAACAGGAGAGGCCACAACAGTGAGAGGCCTGCGTACCACAAAAAAAAAAAAAAAAAGAATACACCTGCCAATGCAGGAGACACGGGTTCGAGCCCTGGCCCGGGAAGATCCTACATGCTGCAGAGCAATTAAGCCGGTGTGCCACAACTACTGAGCCTGTGCTGTAGAGCCCACGTGCCACAGCTACTGAGCCCGCATGCCACAACTACTGAAGCCCACGCGCCTAGAGCCCGTGCTCTGCAACAAGAGAAGCCACTGCAATGAGAAGCCCGCGCATGGCAACGAAGAGTAGCCCCCGCTCGCCGCAACCAGAGAAAGCCTGCGCACAGCAACAAAGACCCAACACAGCCAAAAATAAAAATAAATTAAAAATAAAATTTAAAAATAAATAAAATTAAAATTAAAAAAATAAAATGAACAGCTCTGTATTGCTTAAAAAACAAACACACAACAACCAATAATAAAGCCCCACTTGCCTTTGGCGCGATAGAGACGCCAGTTTTCTATGAGGGAGCATCAGGCTCAATAGAACAAGAGCCCCTCCCCTCCGACCTTTGCCTTCCTTTGCAGTAATACTTTTATCTTAGGGTTGTAATTAGTATTAGAGTTTATAGTATCTGGTACTTTTGTTCTTGCTGTGTGATTTTCTTGGTAGTTATAGAAAAGAGGAGCATGAAAAGAAAACAGAAGGATGACAGTGAAGGATGTAAAGCAGAGTAGGTAAAATTTTCTATAAAACTAAAAACATTTACTGTCATATATCATGGAGATAATGGAAATTTACCTTTGTTTAGTTACATACCTACAAAAGTTACATTAGTTTTTGTCTTATGACACTGCATAACTACAGCATGCTAAATCCCATGCAGCCACTCCCTGATTTACAAACAGGTTGTAGCCAAAGTTTTTGTTTACCGTTTGTTTGCCGTTTGGAATTTGCAACATCTAGCGTTTTCCCCACATTATTACTGTTATGGAGGATTACAGGCTAGCCCGTAGAGCCCAATTTAATGTAAGGTTGCTGAAATAGAACATTTGTAATTGAGGTGGAAATATTACAGTTTAAATTTAGTTATACAGAATAAACAGAGCAGAATGAAGGTAAGCAACAAACCCTTTTCTTTTTTACATAAAAGCATATTTAATCAGAGAATGAAGCTGCCCCTGTGCTTTAGACTCGGTGTAGTCTTTCTTTAAACTCATTTTTTTAAAGTGCTTATTTTTTTTTCTTGATACAGGTCTATCATTGGTTCCACCTATACATTTATTGTCATTGATCAGGTTGGGGGGATCACAATGAAGTGCAGAGACATTTATTGAGGTGACTGGGATAAAGAGTGGGAGACCTTGGAAAACAAGGGAGGTGCATTTGTGGGAGAAAAGGCAGCAATGAAGGGAATCAGAAGAAGTTATTAGAAAAGACGGCTTCTTTTGCTATAATGTGATGATAGCAGCAGGAAGCTTTGGGAATGTTCCTTTTGACGTAAGGGTTTCCTGTATAGTACCTATATTTCACATTCCTTCTTTAATCTAAATTGGATTTATCCATTAAGATTAATTAACACGTCTTTCCAGGTAATGCTTTTGGGGAGGTTCAATGCAAATTAAAGAAAAAATTGTATAGATAATTTTACAACGAATCAAAACTGTTTCCCTCCCCACCAAACCAGTCTTGTTTTCCTTATTGCTAAGGCTGATATTCAGTAAGTAGTACCCAGACACCGGTTGTTTATGATCGAGCATCTATTCTGATTAGTTGGTACTCAAATATTCTAAATATCATCCCTGCATATAACTTTAACCAGCCCATTCTTGCCCATCTGCCATCTGGGACTCTGGAGGGAAAGAAGAATGTCAGCCTGGGCCTAAACCAATTTACGCCCCCAAAGACCATTGTGATCACTGATACTGCAACCAGCAGAGGAAGTGCATTCAAAGTGAAAAGGAATAAGAAAATTGGCTTCCCCAAGCTGGACACACCATCAGTATTCACCTCGAATGGCACTCATCATCCAAAGAGAGACAAGACTGGGAGAGAAAGGCTTTAGTTTTCTTATCATCCCTTTGTTCTTCTAACCAAAAGGTCCCTTCCTTGTGTCCTGTGATGTTCTCACCTGTGGAAGGAGGCCCAGGCGAAGATGCCTGTTATATCCTCGACCCCCGAAAGGAGCTTGTTTGATCTCTTCCCAGTCGTTTTCTGTGGACGTGCTTTCTCTCTCTGCATTGGTTGTACTTGATGTCAGGCTGTCATTTTAATAAACTAGATAGCGCTAAGGAGAATTTGGTACACTGAATATTTGAGGAGTCCCCCCAAACTTGCCAGCTAATTTCTTAGTGTTTGCTCTCCCTTTGAGAGTACAAAAGCAGATACTCATTTGCTTTTTTTTTCCTAAATGGGAATTTATTTGTATAAGACACTGAATTTCAGCAACATAACATCACAGATTGCTGATGAAAGCTGTCATTAAAGTATCAAATTATGTTAATCACAGCTGAAAGCTGTCATTAAAGTATCAAATTATGTTAATATTGCAGCAGTGAATACCAGGATGTTAATGACAATTGAGAATTATGATGCTTAGAACTGCCTTTAGGATGACCATGAAGGCTGCTTGATTATAGTAGAATAACTTATAGTAATTTATATCAAGGAAACTTAAATGTACACTTGATTATTTTTAAAATAATGTCATTGGTTCTCATAAGCAGTTGAGAAATTTTGTCTTTTTTGCTTCTCTATCCTTTAAAACTCTAATATAATTATTTGGCTTAACTTCTGTAATGACTCTTTGGAATTTTGGCCAGGGTATATATTCAGATGAAATTAGAGTTCTTTCTACTTACGAGTTTGGTTTTTTGTGTGTGTGTGTGGTACGCGGGCCTCTCACTGATGTGGCCTCTCCCGTTGCGGAGCACAGGCTCCGGATGCGCAGGCTCAGCGGCCATGGCTCACGGGCCCAGCCGCTCCGCGGCATGTGGGATCTTCCCGGACCGGGGCACGAACCCGTGTGCCCTGCATCGGCAGGCGGACTCTCAACCACTGCGCCACCAGGGAAGCCCGAGTTTGGTTTTTTTAATAAGCTTTAAATTCATGTTTTATATTTTAAAATATAATGTATTCTATTATGTACATGAATTGCATTGTGTGTTATATTAATGTACATATTCATTATTTAATATTGTCTAGGCTAAATGATCAGGACTATGCAAGCTGAAGCGCTTTTAAGAATTATGACTGAGAATGCATTAAAATGAACTATAATTGAATAATCCTGTATCTTTCCAAAAATTGTTTACCGCTATTGCATCATTTTTGATCTGTTTATATTGTTAACTGTTATTCTAGACTGTGCTTCTACAATCCTTATAGACTACAATTAATATTTTTAGCTTTGATTACATGCACTTCATAAAAATTAATTTCCTATTACATATTTTTCTTATCTGAGTCTCATTTAAAATTAATAAGGTTCTAGTAATTTGCTACGTTAATTCAGCAGATATTCTATTTTTAGTTGTATCTATCATCACGTCTTTAATTTATATATTGTTGATAATCGTAGTATTTAACCTTTGCTATATACCTACAGTGTGGTAGCTATTGTACATGAGCTATAGAAAATACTTAGTCTTTCTATCAAGAAGATGACAATTCAGAAGTTTATGAAATACCATTCTCTGGTGATTTTTTTTTTAAAGGAAAGAGTAGGCAGCTATCTATATTGACTAAGTAGTCTGTCAAGGATTTTCCAGTCCTGTGCATTTGTATATCTGATATATAAAAGGGATTTTCCAAATGCCCTTAAATACAAGGTAGGTTTTTTTATCCTATTGTTTTAGTAACTGTTTTCTTATTGAATGAAACTGAAGAAGGAAAGAGGAAGGAACTAAATACCTTGATCCCAGTTCTAAATTACACAGTTTGGTTTCCGTTAATCTTGGTTTGTATTATATGCTATAAATTTAGATTTAAATTTGGCGACTAACAACCAATGCTATCATTTTGCCCATTTAAAATATACATCCTTTGTTGTTTTTATTTGTAATCATATCAGTAATGATAAGAATCTGCATACTTAGGAAATATATTTGTGTTTTCATCAACTTTTGCTTATCCATATTAGCAAACATCTTCAAAAATGAAAATTGGGACTTCCCTGGCGGTCCAGTGGTTAAGACTCTGCGCTTCCACTGCAGGGGGCGTGGGTTCAATCTCTGGTTGGGGAACTAAGACCCTTCATGCTACGTGGCACGGCCAAAAAAAGAAAAAAAAAAAAACAGTGAAAATTACCCTTGCTCTGGGGAAGGACTATGTCTTACTTACCTTATAAGGTGGATCTACTACCCCAAACAGGAATCCCTTCCACCTGGGGTGATTTGGGCAATGAGGCTTTAACTGTAACTTCATTTACACAACTTAAAATTGTATGAGACACCAACCTGCCACTCCTAAAAGTGGATTAAAATGTATTTTTTATTATTATTATTATTTTTTTGCGATACGCGGGCCTCTCACTGCTGTGGCCTCTCCCATTGCGGAGCACAGGCTCCGGACGCGCAGGCTCAGCGGCCATGGCTCACGGGCCCAGCCGTTCCGCGGCATGTGAGATCTTCCCTGACTGGGGCACGAACCCGCGTCCCCTGCATAGGCAGGCGGACTCTCAACCACTGCGCCACCAGGGAAGCCCTGTATTTTTTATTATTAACCAAGGTACTGAACAGTATTAAACTGTGGATTTCAAAAGGCCCATAATTTGTTAATTTATTTTTCCTGGTTCTTTTGTGTTACAATTGATTTTAGGTATTTTTGAATACATAGCTATTAAGTATAATAACCATTTAAAATCGTTGATGGTTTTTGTGAAGCAAATAGGATGCTTAAAAGAGTTCAAATTCTTCTTGAGTAATAAATCTGTGAAAATAGCAGCATGTGTGTGTGTGTGTGTTGGCCTTAGAGCTTTCAGTGGTATTATATCATAACTGGGCTGTTACTTTACGCAGAGGAGTCATTTCAGCTTTTCAATAGAAAGATGATAGAAGGATCAGCCAGTTTTCTCTTAAGCATCTGCCGATCTGTTAATAATACAGTTGCATCGATGAGGCTTATGTAACATTCATGAACACACACCCTGACAAAATTAAGAAAAAACATTTGAATCCTTTGCCTTTGACCTGTCTCTGTGTTTGTATACACACACACACACACACACACACACACAGACATTTGTATGGTAGGCTTGTTTTTGTGACTTATGCTTTACATAATATTTGCTGATATGATTTTCCTATTTTCATTTTGGACCCATCATTTATTAGAGCACTGAAAAGACTTCCTGCTGAAGATAGGCCTCTCCATAGCTTCTCTCCTTTTCATGGCTCCCGTTTTTGGTATATTTTACTCTGTGCTGGGGAAATCTCAGGGGGCTAACGTGGACTCCAGGCAGAGCTACAGTATGCTGAGAGTAAGAGGGTGGCTAAGGAGAACTATGGTGCTAGCCATCAGCATACATACCAAAAACTAAACAAAAGGAATGATTTGATGTGGAAACACCCATTCCAGCCCTCAAGAAGGTGATTTCATTGCTTCTGTTTAAACATAAATAATATGGAGAATAACTTCACCCTAGGAATAATGGCCCTATTAAATTATCTTTACCATATGTAATAACTTTTAAAGGAATTAAAATGAATCATAGTGATGAATGAAGCCTGTTGACATGAAAGAGACATTTAGGGATCGGGTACTAGAGTTTTTCTGTGTGTGGATCTGCTAGCTGAGTTACTTTTAAGAATCATGACTGAAAAGTGGATTGAGATGGTTCATAATAGAATAACTTTCTATTTTTCCAGAACTTCCATCTGGCCAGAATTTTCTTAGTATTTGGCTGGGGGTGGTGAGGACACATTTTGAGGAGAGAAAAGTAATTGTTTTGGCCATAGTCAAGTTATACCATTGTTTCTTAGAGTAACTTTCAATCTACTGGCTTGGAATGAGCATTTTCTTTTAGTCACCTTTCTATTGGATTAGGTAAGGGTAGTTTGTGAATTCCCTTTAAATCGTTAATATATGGAGAAAGGAAGCTTTATTTGCATCTATATGGGCAGTAAAAAGCATATTTACTCTCATTCTAGTACAGGTATTTATGTATCCAGGCGTGAGTGCCATGAAAGTAGTTGGGTTTTAATTTTTTGTAATTGGCTTAATAGGTCACTTTAGACAATTGTGTCGAAGTTGGGCGGATTGCCAACACCTACAATCTGACAGAAGTGGATAAATACGTTAACAGTTTCGTCTTGAAGAATTTTCCTTCATTGCTGAGCACCGGGGAGTTCTTGAAACTCCCTTTTGAACGTCTTGCCTTTGTGCTTTCCAGTAATAGCCTTAAGCACTGCACTGAACTTGAGCTCTTTAAGGCTACCTGTCGCTGGCTACGCCTGGAAGAGCCTCGGATGGACTTTGCTGCGAAATTAATGAAGAACATACGATTTCCACTGATGACACCACAAGAGCTCATTAATTACGTGCAAACCGTGGATTTCATGAGAACTGACAACACGTGTGTGAATCTCCTTTTGGAAGCCAGCAATTACCAAATGATGCCATATATGCAGCCAGTGATGCAGTCAGACAGGACTGCCATTCGGTCTGACACCACTCATTTGGTTACACTAGGAGGAGTGCTGAGGCAGCAGCTGGTTGTCAGCAAGGAATTGCGCATGTATGATGAAAAGGCTCACGAGTGGAAGTCCTTAGCCCCCATGGATGCCCCAAGGTACCAGCATGGCATTGCCGTCATTGGAAATTTCCTGTACGTCGTTGGTGGACAGAGTAATTATGACACAAAAGGAAAAACAGCAGTTGATACAGTCTTCAGATTTGATCCTCGATACAATAAGTGGATGCAAGTTGCATCTTTAAATGAAAAGCGCACCTTCTTCCACCTAAGTGCCCTCAAAGGATACCTGTATGCAGTTGGTGGGCGAAATGCAGCTGGTGAACTGCGTAAGTGTGTGCACTTCTATTAAGCATAGAGACTAATTTCTTTACCCCCAGATTCTTGTCAAATCATAAAATAAGCAGTTTTGTAACATCAAAGACCAAAAAATGTAGCCAGGATTTTATTTTAAGCTGTTTTTCTTAGAAAATATCAGAGACCGTCTGTACGCCTTATCTGGGCATACATTGTTGGCCACACTACAAATTATTATCTTACAAATATATCAATATGTTGCAGAATGTTTTACTTGTGCAATATCTATGGTTTTCATCTTGAAGGTTCAACTAAAAAGTATGTTCTGCTAATTTAAATTCTAATAGTATCTTGGACAGAAGTTTGGCATGTTCCCTCATTTTCCATTTTAAAAGCCCACATAATAGTTTACTGAACAGGTTAAAATTCTTCCTTACAGAGCACGGACTTTTATAGTTGCTTCTTTTACGTAATCTGTTACCTACCACAGGCCACAGAGTAAGATGATTTTCTTATCTACTAAGTGTTCAGAGTTCAATATTATCCAGAGTTTATTTACTGTGAGTATTATGATAGGTAACTATTAGTCTGAAAAATCATTCTCTCTTGGTGAAATACGAAACAGTTTTCTTCACTGTAAACTGATCTGGTAAGCTTTATTATTTGATGGTCCCTTCTTCCTAATCTAAGATCAGCGACAAGTACAGTTAACATAGACCAACACTTTGGCTACATAAATTAACACTAATTTTGTTATTTTAGATAAAATTGGAACAAGGTGGCTGTCCAAGAAGTCAGAAAGACCACATTTTATGTCATGTGTTACATATCTGTCATTGCCATCATTGTTTGGAAACAATGGGTAACACCCATCTTCCTTTATTCTCTGTTCGAAATAGAGTCCCTGTAGTTGAACGGTATTCCAGGTTCCATAATGCTGGGGAAGTTTGAAATATTGGCATTGGCTCTGGATAAATTCAGAGTAATTATCAGAATCTTTTTCTTCAGTATTCTAAAAAATAAAAGGTAGTCTAATGGATTTGAGAATAAGCAGTTTATTGGAGACAAAAAGAGCTGCTCTCAGCTCTTAAACTTTTCAGCTTATCAAGCTCTTTCTTGTTCGTGACATATATCTTTATTGGAGTATAATCACTTTACATTGCTGTGTTAGTTTCTGCTGTACAACAAAGTGTATCAGCTATACGTATACATATATCCCCATATCCCCTCCCTCCTGAGCCTCCCTCCCACCCTCCCTATCCCACGCCTCTAGGTCGTCACAGAGCACCAAGCTGATCTCCCTGTGCTATGCGACTGCTTCCCACTAGCTATCTATTTTACGTTTGGTAGTGTATATATGTCCATGCCACTCTCTCGCTTTGTCACAGCTTACCCTTCCCCCTCCCCGTGTCCTCAAGTCCATTCTCTAGTAGGTCTGCGTCTTTATTCCCGTCTTGCCCCTAGGTTCTTCATGACCACTTTTTCTTTTTTTTTTTAGATTCCATATATATATGGAATACCATCTTTGTTTTTCTCTTTCTGACTTACTTCACTCTGTATGACAGACTCGAGGTCCAGCCACCTCATTACAAATAACTCAATTTCGTTTCTTTTTAAGGCTGAGTAATATTCCATTGCATATATGTGCCACATCTTCTTTATCCATTCATCCGATGATGGGCACTTAGGTTGTTTCCATCTCCGGGCTATTGTAAATAGAGCTGCAATGAACATTTTGGTGCATGACTCTTTTTGAATTATGGTTTTCTCAGGGTATATGCCCAGCAGTGGGATTGCTGGGTCGTATGGTAGTTCTGTTTGTAGTTTTTTAAGGAACCTCCATACTGTTCTCCATAGTGGCTGTATCAATTTACATTCCCACCAACAGTGCAAGAGGGTTCCCTTTTCTCCACACCCTCTCCAGCATTTATTGTTTCTAGATTTTTTGATGACGGCCATTCTGACCAGTGTGAGGTGATACCTCATTGTGGTTTTGACTTGCATTTCTCTAATGATTAGTGATGTTGAGCATCTTTTCATGTGTTTGTTGGCAATCTGTATGAGTGACATGGTCTTAATGTTACTGATGTTTCCTACCCATTTTTTTTTTTCCCCTTTGTTGTCACAGTGAAATTTTTTCTAAGGCCAGACTTTCCAGATTGTTGGACTAGCTGCCAGGATCACGAACCACACAGGTTTTCCAATATATTTTAATAATCAGACTTTTAAAAGCACTTGACACATTAATACCCTTAGCGTAGAATTGTCATGTCCTCAGTCAACCCACACACATTATTTTCATGTTATTATACTATTTTAAATTTATGGTGTCTGGAAAGAACCAGAAGATGCAAGTAGTGACTTGACACTTTCTTAGAAAAACCACTTATGTAAGTTCATCTTTACAAGTTTACAAATTATAGGTCATCAGCCCTGGCAGTCAGTGGTCATTTTGAAACTTCTTTTCTCTAAGGAAATAGCTCCATTTTTCAGTCACTGCTTGCTTGGTAATGTTATCACCTCTGTTAATATGCAACTATTAAGTTTTCAATATATTGTTCCTAATATTTATATCCTGAGAATTTATCATCTTCAGGCCAAGGAGAGTTGTTATATAAGACTGAGGCGCTAGAGGCTTCCTTCTTCTGACTTAATCCTTACCCTGTTTGAGTTCTTCCTACGTTATGCTCAACTGGAAACAAGAAGTAGACTACCCCGTTGGGCAAGCGGCTGGCTTCCTTGCTCATGACCTTCAGAAATCACCCCTTTAATGTCTTATTAAAAACAGCCTTCTGTGTTTCACTTTGAAAGTGACAGGATACAAGAGAATCATGCTTTTCATGAGCTGTTCCTAAATTTGTAATAACTGATTATATTTAGACTTTAAAAACACAATCGCCCAGAGCTTAAACCTAAGGATAATGATTTAAATATTCTACAAAAATACTCCCCGTCTAGATGGTAAACAGAGGTCCATTTTTATCTTAATTCATAAACTGTGTTTTCACAAATAAATGTATGATTATAATATAGACACAAACCCTCAATACAGAAGGACAACTATAATTCCATTTAGAGGGCAACTATTTGATATTTCTTTCTGTTTGAAATTTTCTCCTAGAATCTATAAGCAACTAAGCTTTTGTAGAAGGTGATTGCTTCCCTTAAAATCAGCATGCCCAGCAAATCCATTCTGTGCTACATGTTTGAAGTTAAAATATATTGGAAGTTTGTTTTAAAAAATCATGTGATTGACTTATTAAGTACACTCCAATATAGAGTCTTGATTCCAGGAGAACCTTCAGGCCCAAAGGAGTCATTATGTAAAACCAAGTAGCAAGCAGCTTCGTTTTGTTTTGTTTTCTTTTCCGCCTGACCCACCCTACCCCTTTGAGTTCCTCCTATTTTACACCCATGTGGGGATATGAAGTAGGCGGGTCCGTCTCGTCACATTCTGTATCGTTGAGGTAACCAGTCGTGATGTAACCACCCTGATTACCTCCCCAAAGAAGAACATTAATGTGTTCTTCTGAATTCTGTTTATAATGTTTCTCCTTGTATAAATAAGAAGAGGATATGTGCCAGTTGCCCTTTGTAATTTTCTTAGACCCATTATTTTTGCAGAATAGTAGATTTTGGCTCTAAAGAAATGCTTGCTTATATTTCTGAATGTTCCAGCGAGGCAGGGTTTTTAACATTTCTCATGTTCCATAAGCGTTTTTTAATGGCACCCCCTCCCTCCGCCCCACACTAACATCTGTTGTAATAACATTCCATCTTAACTGATTATGTTGACATAGTCATATGTCTATGTAAATAGAGAAGGGGAGTAGGAATGGGTGTCAGGAAAACGGGATTGATGGGAAAATCATTTCACAGTTTAACAGGTTCATTAGTACCAGTACATCATTTATTCTTCATACACACAATAACCATTGCCTGTATATAATGATGAAAAGAAAACAGTGGCAGCGTTTGCAAGACATTTTAGATCATTTTAATGCATTTAGCCTTTTAAAATCTTGCCATGGAGTGTATGGACCCAAGCCCATAGTACATAAAAACGATACTGTTAGTGTGTGTGTGAGCCTGGCTTATTGCTGAAATATAATTCCTTAGAAATGCTACTTCCCTTTGACACTGGGTACAGTGGGAAACTGGGGAAAGCTTAGAGTAGCCGTCACTTAAGTGAAAAAGGGGTCAGTTATTTCTGGTATCTTTCCAAATTGTCATATAAGAAATTGATCTTCCATTGAAGATTTCGGTATTGAGGAGAAATATGACGGCTCAGATATCTTTCACTTCAGTTAAATAAGTCAGGGTTTCAAGTAATGAAATAACTTATAGAAAACGTGTTAGATTTTTCCAAATAAATGTACAATAAAATTACTGAAATTTATCAAATGCATCCATATCCCTTAATGGATTTGCAGTTTATTAAGCGACATATTACTAACTGGCACTCTAGGATTCTAGAGACCATCCCCTCTTTGTGGGAGCCATTATTGTCCAAATGGTTTTCTTCAGGACTAATCTCTTTCCTAACCTCAAAGAACAAGTAAATTCCACGTCATCCCTTGTGCGCGATTCTGAACTCCAGTGGAATCACCTGAGAAAATAAGAGTCCCTGATGAGTTATGTGAAATAACCAACCGAAGTGCAATTCTTGAATTAGGGAGGGTCTCTAATTTAAATACTAGGCCACCAGACTACCGAAGGTGATTCTCTAGAATAGGGATCAGAAAACTGATCCCTATTGCCAGAAAGGAAATCTTTTTGGCTTTGCAGGCTGTAGGATCTCTGTCACAGCTAATCAGCTCCGCTATTGTATTATGAAAGCAACTATAGACAATTTGTTTATAAACAAATGAGTGAAGTCGTGTTCCAGTAAAGCTGTATATATGAACACTGAAATTCGAATTCCATATAATTTTCATATTTCACGAACTATTCTTCTTTTGATATGTGTTTCCAACTCGTTAAAAATGTAAACGCCATTCATATTTTTATCCTGTTGGCCATACAAAAGCAGACGACGTACTGGATTTGGCTTACAGGCGGTAGTTTGCCTGACCTCCCCTGTTCTAGATTTTCCCAATTACCTCATTACCATTCCTACCTGTCACAGACTGTGATGGACTCACTGCTTTGTGGCTCCAACTCCTTGATGCTCATCCCGTGTCCCCTCCCCCTATCAAGGTGGTTGGCACTAACGTCTCATTGCCTTGTAAATACGGAAAATAGAACTAAGGGCATGTATCAATATATAGACTTGTTAATTAGATATATTCTATTTTAAAACTAAATATATTGATTTTACTAATAACAATAACAATCCTGCATGGAGACAATAAAGATTAAATGATGGGAAAAGCTAAAGGAGATGGGTTATCTAGCTGGAAGAAGACAAGTTTAGGGATGATGAACTATTATATACTTGTTGTGTTACTGGTGATTAATAGCCACCTTACATTTCAGGGACCCCTGTATGAGAAAGTATAGATGGAAAGTGTAGATTAACTCAGTGATAGAAGAACAGCATTATCTTTCTACATAGGAAAATTTTAATAATCGTAAAGAGTGAATAACTATTCAGATTCTAGCTCCCTATAAAAAAATAAGAGGAAACTAATGCAAACTGCATCAGAACAGATTGAATTAGATGTAAAGAAAGAGTGTAACAGTCTAGAAATTTCAAAGGTCAAGGCAGAATTCTTCATTAAGAAAAGCACAGAACTGGAGTAAAAGCTACCTTTGACATCAAATAGATGGAAAGAAGTCTTTAAAACCCTTCTGATAGGATGTGTGATTAGACTACATTCTTTTATCGGATAAAACCCTACCATTAATGATATACATTCAGGAGGATTTTGCTTGTCGATTAGGCAAAGGTCATGCTGAAGGCAAATGGAACTGAACGTTCAAGAAGACATCCAGGACTTCCCTGGTGGCGCAGTGGTTAAGAATGCCCCTGCCAATGCAGGGGACACGGGTTTGAGCCCTGGTCCGGGAAGATCCCACATGCTGCAGAGCAACTAAGCCTGTGTGCCACAACTACTGAAGCCCGCACACCTAGAGCCTGTGCTCCGCAACAAGAGAAGCCACCACAATGAAAAGCCCGTGCACCGCAACGAAGAGTAGCCCCTGCTCGCCGCAACTAGAGAAAGCCCGTGTGCAGCAACGAGGACCCACCGCAGCCAAAAATAAATAAATTTAAAAAAAAAGAAGAAGAAGACATCCAGTGACTGAAAATAGTCACAAACAGTATTGGAGCAAACAATTTTAGCTTGTCATTAATTGTGGAAATAGCCCTTATTTGGGGACAAGATTTTGCAGGATCTTGCTACCTGATGGGAAGGTTTAGAAGATATAGAGTTGGTAAGGGTCCAAGCCTGAAGCAGTGAACAAAAATAACAAGAGATAAAAAAAGAGGACAGTTAAAAGCCTTTGAAATAAGACCGAAAATTCAAAACTAAAGTAGAAAAGGAAATCAGTAAAGGGATACGAGAAGTGATATAATACAGGTGTTGTTAGAGGAGAAATAAGTAGTTCATGTAGTGAATTTGTTGAAATGAAGTTATTGAAGAGAGTAGAAAATTAATCTCTCTCTCTCTCTAGTTTTGCCTGTTCTCACATTACTGTTGTTTTCTTAAATAGGAAAACTTGTTCAAAGGATGATTCATCAATTAGGATTGCATTTGGCTGCAAGTAGCCAAATTTTATTCCGGTGGCTTGATCAAATAGCCCCACTCAGTATCCTCCTGCTTCCATTCCATTGCCTACAACTGTATCATATCATCAATTCCAGCTTCAAGGGAGCCTGCTAATTTGAATTTTATTTTGAGCTGGGCACAGTGCTTTCCTGAGCAGTGTTGTGGTTCTGTTAGTAAGAAAAAAGCAGGGTTAGTGGAGACAAGCATTTGGGTTAGCAAGTGGCAACGTCTGCAATAAATAGTATAAACTTTTCAAATCAGTCTAGATGTTGTACTTTTGACCAGAGTCTTCCTAACATCCCTATTGTTTTTCTGCCTTTTAAAAAAGATCACATTTTCTATCTGTCTGGACTGTCACTGTTCTAGTCTTAAGGTTATAACAGATTGATATTTAAGTAAGGTGAGGCCTCAGATACTTTATGTTAAAGATGATAAATTTGTTACTGAGAGGAAGTACCCCTGATAAAAATCTGAACTTCATATTATGCTGCTAATCATCTTCAGGTTAAGAGCAGTACTGGCTGCAACGGTATTGGGTGGTTATATACAAGCTATTGGCTTTAATGTGTAAATACTGAAAAACTATCGTCAGTGTCCATTTTGTAGTCTGGATATAAAATAAAGCAATAGGCATCAAAACATACACCAGGCAGTGTGCGTACTTTCATTTTCAACTTAAAATTTTGCTTCATATCTGTTAACCTTTGTTTCCTATATGGTGTATCATATAGAATCAAAGTGTTTTTCTTCCTTGTGATGTTTTTCATCTTTTCTTCCCACATATGTAGAGCAAAGAAATGGGAGAAATGTCAAATTATAAAGATGTAACAAGATCCTAGAAGAAAAGAAATCCTAGTGATTTCTTTTTTTTTTTTTTTTTTTTTTTTTCGGTACGCGGGCCTCTCACTTTTTTGGCCTCTCCCGCTGCGGAGCACAGGCTCCGGACGCGCAGGCTCAGCGGCCATGGCTCACGGGCCCAGCCGCTCCGCGGCATGTGGGATCCTCCCAGACCGGGGCACGAACCCGTGTCCCCTGCATCGGCAGGCGGACTCTCAACCACCGCGCCACCAGGGAAGCCCAATACTAGTGATTTCTGCAGCAACAGAAATGTTACCTTATTATATTACGTAGCTCATCTGATGTAACATGTATCAATGTATTAATGGTTCATATTATTAACATAACGTCAATAATTAATATAAGTGACCCCCAAAGAATATCTCCTAGCTATAATAGAAATGTTTCAGTTATTTGGATATTATTATTATTCCACCTAAAAGGAAAAATAATTAATTGCTAAATTTGAAATTATAAATCATTTTTAAAAATTCATTCATTCTTTCCTTTTATTTTTTAAACAACAGCTACAGTAGAATGTTACAATCCAAGAACAAATGAATGGACCTACGTTGCCAAAATGAGTGAGCCCCACTATGGCCACGCTGGAACTGTGTATGGAGGCGTAATGTATATTTCAGGTAAATAATTGCAAATGCAATTAATGTAATACATAGACTTTTAGCTATGTCGCCATCTTTCCGTCTGGTGTTAATAATAATCCTGGAAATGGATAACCAAAATATAATTTGTATTGATTTTAGAATATATTTTGTGTGTACATTTGCATATGAATCCTTTGGCATTTTATAAGTTTATAAGGCTAGCGGCAAACCAGTCCTACTGTAAACACCTTACTTAGAAGAAGTTGGGAAGCTTTCAGCTTCTCCAGCTTGCCTTTCAGTGCCCATACCCTGTACTCCAATAACTCGGTACTCTAATAGCCACCATTCATATTCTCTATAACAACATTTAATTCATTTTTATTCAGAATTTAGCTAAACTCTATGAGGAAATATATCATTATGTAACATATAAGCTCTACTGTGCATAAAACTTGCTACCAATATACATATAATGCATAATAATGTTCATTCTCTCATTTAGTGCAACCCATAATGTATGTTTCTCTTGTCCTTAGCATTATAATGGGTTCTACTATGGTGTCATTGCATAAATAATTCTGTGTTGATTACCTGTATTTTGGCCATATGCACATATACTTTTCTGATAAAAAATTCTGAAACAGTTGCAGTTCGCTCAGTGTCCCAGTAACAGCTTTCATTCTCAAACTGTCGGGGTTCAAATCACCCTTCCGTAGAACTTAGAAAGGAGTCTTATCTTAATGTAATGTTCACTTCAGGTATTGAAATTTTATTCCGTTATTCAGGTTCTTACCATTTGGCCCTGACACAGTCTACCTCTGACAGTTTTCCCCCTTTTGAAGGCCTGCCAGTGTCAGGCCAGCAGTTACGCTATTAGAGAACGAAGGCGATAAGGTGATGTTTGTGGTCTGAGTCTCTGAACGCTGCCTTATGAAATCTCTAATGAAGAAGGATCAGGGAAAGGCCTGTCGTGTATGACTGGCAGGTTTCTGGTGTTAAATATATGAGCAACTATGGGACATCTTATATTGAAAGAGCCATCCAGGAAATCATATGCTCCACTAATCAATGATTTACACCATCCACCTATTTTACGTGTGTAGCTGCTATGCCATTATAAGGAGAGCTCCAAGTCTTCTGGGGGGAAAAAAAATGACATTCGAATGGTTCTAGTGGTGCTTTGGCATAGCTAGGATACGTTGCACAAGTGACCTTCCCAGTCAAGAGTAGGCTAGGAACCACAGCTGAGTTTCAGACCAAAGAGCACTGTTTTGCTTGCTGACAATTCAGTGAAGTACAGAAGAAATATCTAAAAGCAGAAAAAAAATCGATTGCCATCTGGCCACCAGACATAGAGCTCTGAATGATATGGCTAAAGATTAGTTTAGTTTTCTCCCTAATCTGCAGAATATATGGTCTGATCCTTTCATTGTACAGGCTGATTTAGATGTGCTCTAAGAATATACTTTGTAGACGATATAGGCTCAATAGAGCAACAACGAATTGCTGTACATACAAAATTCCATATATATTCAGCATTCTAATTCTTTAGCTTTTTAAGAGAGGACGTTACCCACCCTCACCCTACCCACCCAAAACTCTACAAAAATAATCAGTTCCGAACATTCGTCTAAGCTTGTACATTTGCACAATACTTTCGACTTTTCCGAAGCACTGTGATTTATTTCAGTTCATAGTCACAATCCTAATGAGAGAACTAGAGTGGACATTCTTATCTGACAAATGAGGAAACGGGCGCCTAGGCTTTAAAGTGCCCTAGCCCTGTGCTCAGCACCCAGAGGGTGCTCGCTGAAGGGCAGCAGAAGTGCATGATGCTTTGTACTTGGGATTTCCTGTAAACCCAACTCTAAGAGTGGCCAAAATATATTTTCATTCTGTAAAACCTCTTAAATCCCATGGGTCTCTGTCTGAGAAAGTCATTACAATAATATAAGCTGCATCTTTGTTCTTTAAGGAGATGAAAATGTTATTTTCTTTATTTTTAATCCAGAGAAAGTATAGCAGGGAGACATTTATAAGAACAAGGTTGATAAGCTCTAAAATGTCATAATACCTGGATAGACGTTAATTATCTGTGACCTGTGACAGAGAGTCTCCTACTTACTTTTGCATTTTTATAATAATCTGTTTACCCCATGCCTGTAATTTTCATTCTCTAGGAGGAATTACTCATGACACTTTCCAAAAGGAGCTCATGTGCTTTGACCCTGATACTGACAAATGGATCCAGAAGGCGCCAATGACCACTGTCAGAGGTCTGCATTGCATGTGTACAGTGGGAGAAAGGCTGTATGTCATTGGTGGCAATCACTTCAGAGGAACAAGCGATTATGATGATGTCCTAAGCTGTGAATACTACTCACCGATCCTTGACCAGTGGACCCCGATTGCTGCCATGTTAAGAGGGCAGAGTGATGTTGGGGTCGCTGTCTTTGAAAATAAAATCTACGTGGTTGGTGGGTATTCATGGAATAATCGTTGTATGGTAGAGATAGTGCAGAAATATGATCCAGATAAAGATGAATGGCATAAGGTTTTTGATCTCCCAGAGTCCCTGGGTGGCATCCGAGCTTGCACACTCACAGTTTTTCCACCTGAAGAAACCACACCATCACCTTCTAGAGAGTCCCCTCTTTCTGCACCTTAAGATCGTCCCTGCAACTGAGATGCTGTAGTCCTATCTTTGCAACGTGTCATGGATTCTCTTCTTTCGCCCTCCCCCTTAAGTAGTGTATGTTAGGATTAGCCTCCAGTAATTGATACAAATATTGGAAAAAAGACGACATTGATGTTCTTTGTGCTGTTTGTTTGGTGGTAACAAAACCATTCTGGAAATGTATCCCATAGAAGCTGATGTTTAACATACGAGGAGAAAAAAAAAAAAAAAAAAGCAAGGCAAAGTATTGTCTATAAGATGTTTCTGCAGTACTTTTTGATGCTGTGTACTGGGTGTGAGGTATTTGTCATCTTACGTTAGAAAGCCCAATAAACCAAGTTGAAGGTGGATTATAGTAAATGTACAACTGTGCTAGCTAGGCTTCAAAGTAAAAAGTTTTCCTTTCATCTTTGACTGTGAGATGTGAAAGGGAGGTAGCCCGCTCCAACAGGAAACAATAGACAAAAGGTTGCCAACTCGCATGAGCTACCTCCCTCTTTTCATAAAGTATTTTTGACATATCTGTCAGCCCACCTGTCTGTGGGGTGCATTGAGAACACATCAAGTTTCTTAGACACACAGGAGAAAGAATAATTGTAATTCACGAATATTAATTTAAAAAAACAGCATGACCCCTCAACTTGTAAGCAAGGCTTTGGGGTTCTTTAAGTGTGTATAAATATAGACACACACATATATCAAATAGAAGAATTTTAAAAACTGAGTAGCACGTCAAACAAATGCCAAAAAGAAAACTTTGAAATTTCTTCCAAAAAGCAGCTTCCATTAAAATGGGAATTCAGTATGCACGTACTGAATGCACGTATGTAGAATCATACTGAATTTAGGTGAATAAGGGCTAGAAATTTTGAGCAACTCAATTTGTCATTTGGCCAAATTTTTCCTTCCAAAACTGTAATGTACACCTTCTCCTTTGCTGTTGAGGTAACTTACATATTATATGTATTCTGTATACTCAGTTCATAAGATTATTTAGCACAAAGTATAGCAGCTCCACCTGGTGAGCTACTTTCGCTCAGTGAATTCCACTTCCATGTTTTATTTTTTTTGTTCAATAAAAACATTTAATGTCGCTTTGGTGTGAGGTATCCTGTTCTTGTCTGAGTTGGCTTCCTTTGGCTTCCTTTGATTAAATACCTTTCTTTTTTTTTTTTAGTATGCCAAGATCCAAATGATCAGAACTTAAGAGTACTGAACAGCTTGGATTAACGAATACTAATGACTTTCATTCAAGGAAGAAAAGAATTTGACCAGGTCAAACTTCATTGGTGAAAACTCATTGTTGGTTGTCTTTGAGGAATTAGTTTGTAGAAGATGCTAACTGACCCCTCTCCATCCCCACAGGGTAATAATATGTCTAAACCACAAGAGCAGTGAAATTTCTGAGGTCGGTTTCCCGGATCTTCCAGAAGATCCATCTTGCCTAACGAGAAGGGATTGTGTAAAATGACTTAAGAGATTTGTTCTTGACCGAAAAAATGTTTTTGTAAGAGATTGATAATTATGTTAGGGCCATATGTATGATCTTTCCTACTTTATCTGCAAATGACCCGATTAAATCTGAACCAAAAATTTCGAGCTATTCCAAACCAACTAGAGTGTTGCCAAAGTTCTTATCTGGTGGAGAATTGGCAGTGCCCATGTCACTGTCTCTGTCCTGAGTTAATCATAATGAAGAAAACAATTTTCCTATCAGTGGTACTTCTGAATGTTAGGAGAAGCCTGGTTTGAATTTGAAAGACCCTCTTTGGCAAGATTGTTCTTAAGTCAGAGAAACTGGTCACGTGATTTCGGCTGTCTGCTCATAGGCAGATCAGATTCAGCCATTTGCAGAGAGTTAACACCCTCCTGAACATGGGAACATGTACAGGACAGACTAATGGTCCCACCACAGTCCAGTATGGGTGTTCCTGTTCAGGCGGCTCTCCTCCAAGCAGCAAAGGTTTTTTCCATCTTGTGGCTTCTTCTGCCTCTTGGGTCCTCGGAATCTTCTCCGTTCAGTCAGCAGAAGAAAAATGGAACATTGCAGGTATGAGGGCTGTCGGGCTTGAAAGAGGCATGCATCACTTCTACCCACGTTCTGCTGGCCGGAAGTCAATCCTGTGTCCACACAGAAGCCCAAAGGGGACTGGAAAATAGCAGATAGCCGCGTGCCCAGAAAGAAGAGGAAACAGGGCTGGTGATCCGGTCGCAGTTTGCCGCAGGGAATAACAAAGCGCAAGGTTCTGTTTGACAGCTTACCTTTTCTGCATCCAGGCCATATGTTATTTAGAATAACAATTCATGTCATGCAAGTGCTGTTATTAAACAATTCCAACAGCTGGTAAATTATTACACATTTTCCTTCACAGCGAATTAACAATTTTTCTTTATAAAAAATCTCTGACAGTCATTAGTTGGCTCTACAAGCATTTCTCCCATTTGCCTTTCTTAGGTTCTTGATCTACTTGAAAAAGGAGCTACTGAATACATTAAATCTCAAAAGGTTCATCATTTCCCTTCCTGGTCAAGGTTGGTAGAGTGGGGAAGATGAAAGAAAACAGCTACTTTGCCTGTTTCTAGAATTAAAAAAAATTCAGCTCATAATCAGGTTTGCCCTGAAAAGTAAAATGATGACCTGAACCTGTTTCCTCTCTAATATTACTTTAGAGACTTAACAATATATAAGTATGTATTGTTTCCTTGCAAGTTGCTAAAATAATTCCCTCCCATTATACCCGGAGAGAGTGCCCCCATAGGGCAAGTAAGTGGTGTTGTATTTCATTAGTTCAACTGTGACCTTTTTTTTTTTTTTTTTCCATTTCAAGGGCCTTTGTGTATTGCCCACCCCCCCAAGAATGGTAAGTAGACTTCCTCATGTGGAAAGTTGGCCCTGCCTCTAATTTTATTCTTGGCCATTGTGTCTTATTTTCAAGGCACTAGACCTCAGGTTTAGTCCTTTCCACATCAGAGATCTCTTGGAGTATGCGGGCAGGAAAGTAAATGTGAAACAAGTTCACAGGGATTAAAGGAATTTTATTTTAAATTGGTCAAATCATGTAGTATTTTACATACAACTCTTGGTAATTATAAAAAGGCAAAATACAGAAAAATTGGTAAATACAAGAAAGAAGAAAAGTCATTCATCTCCCCCCATATCAGTAACGATTGCTAAATGTGAGTATATTGGTTTTACACAATTATCAGAACGTTACAGGTTGGCCAACGTTTTCTGTAAAAATCAGTAAATATTTTAATCTCTGTGGGCCGTTGGTCTCTGTGGCAACTATCATCTCTGATGTTGTAGTGCAAAAATGTCGATAATGTGTAAATGAATGAGTGAGGCTGTGTTCTAATAAAAGTTTAGGACACTGAAATTTGAATATCATATAATTCTCACGTAGTATAAAATATGACTCCTCTTTCGAGTTTTCAGCCATTTAAAAATTTTTAGCTCCTGGGCCATAGAAGAACAGACCATGGACCAGACTTGGTCCATGGTCTGTAGTTTGCTGACTCCTGCATTACAAGAGTGCATTTCATTATCATTCACTTATTCTTTTTTAAAAAAATTAATCAATTCGTTTATTTTTAGCTGCTTTGGGTCTGCGTTGCTGCGTGAGGGCTTTCTCTAGTTGTGGCGAGCGGGGGCTACTCTTTGTTGCGGTGCGTGGGCTTCTCATTGCGGTGGCTTCTCTTGTGGTGGAGCACGGGCTCTAGGCGCGCAGGCTTCAGTAGTTGTGGCACGGGAGCTCAGTAGTTGTGGCTCGCGGGCTCTAGAGTGCAGGCCCAGCAGTTGTGGCGCACGGGCTTAGTTGCTCCGTGGCGTGTGGGATCTTCCCGGACAAGAGCTCAAACCCGTGTCCCCCGCATTGGCAGGCGGACTCTTAACCTCTGCGCTACGAGGTAAGCCCCCCATTTATTCTTTCAAGAAACATTTACTGTGAACGTATTTTGTGTCAGTCAGTGAAGAGTCCTAGGGTCTACAAAGATGAATAAAACTGAATCCCTGCCCTCAAGGAGCTCAGTCTAATTGGGTAGATAGATGCTTACAACGTAGTGTGCTGGAGGCTAGGATGGGTGTCTAAAGAAGCCACATCTGAACAAGTCACAAAAATAGATGTTTATAAAATGAATGCCTGGGACTCGAGTGCCTGCATTAATAAAATACAACTTTTCTTGCCACAAAGCTATAAATAAAAGAATACGCACAAGGAAGGGGCAGCCAGTCCATGAAAGCCTAGCTCCTGCCCCCTGATCAACTTGATCTAATTACCCCAACTCCCAACTTGCTGGTTCTGTGCTAAGTAGGGTCACACACAACGTGTCCTTTAAAATACTCTGTAACCAGCGGAGTACAGGATGGGATATTTAACAAGACTTTCCTAAAATCTCTGTGCGTCAATATGTTTTTTTACTGCAAGTAACAGAAATCCCCAACTCTAACAATAAGGAAATGTGTTTTCTCACAGAGCTGCAAAGCCCACTGGAGATAAAGGAGGCCCCAGGCAAGATGTACTTAGCTCAGTGTCATCAAACTCCCAGGTTGGTTTTTTTTTTTTTTCCTCATATCCCCACTCTGTTTGCAACAGCATTTGTAAACACTGTGTTTTGCCAGTAACATCCCTTGTTCACATCCACAGAGAGAGAAAACCTCTCCCTCAATCATGGAATTTAAATTCTCTTTAGTCTGATGGAGGCAACCCAGGACATATGATTCTCGTGGCCCTGTTGCCAGGGGAATGCGGTGCACGGATTGGCTTAGGTTAACTATCTTACATGAAATTGTTGTTGGGGAATTAACCATAATACCCTCCTCTCTCAGGAAGAACAAGAAGGAAACATGGAGAAGGAAATTTAGCTAATTGGACTGACTGGTTCACTTTGTCCCAAATCAGTCTAGGCTTTTTCTAGGTTCATGTTTTTCAAAGTCTGGGTCGCAACCTATTAGTACAGAAATTCCCAAAGTGTGGTCCAGGCAACCTGGTGTCTCTGAGACTCTTTCAGGGAATTCATGAGGTCAAAACTATTCTCGTCATAATACTAAACCCTCATTTGCCTGTTTCACTCTTATTCTCAAGTGTACAGTGGCATTTTCCAGAGGTTGAAGGACACGCGGTGATACCATTACTCTGTCAGGTAATAGGATATGAGTTTGTGTATTCTTGTATTTTAAAAACCCTCAGGGAGCTCTCTGGTGGTCCAGTGGTTAGGACTCGGTGCTTTCACTGCCGTGGCCCCGGGTGCAATCCCTGGTCGGGGCCAAAAAACAAAAGCAAAAAAACCCTCCCATTGTTCGTTTCTAATACAGTAAACATCAATAGCTATAACTCACATAAACACAACCTCTTTGGTATCCTCAAATTTTAAGAATGTATGGGAGTCCTGAGACCCAAAAGTCTGACAACTACTGAGTTGTAAGATCAATTTTAGAAACATTTTTTGCAGAAATGGAATAAAAAATAGAGTGTGCCGTACATCATAAATGGAAGTATTGTTTTGTGAAGTTTTCTTTGGATTATGTATATGTGTTTATATATACACATGTATTTAATCAAAAGAAAAAAATTCACAAAACAATACTTATATACGTGTGTGTGTGTGTGTGTGTGGTTACAATATAAGTAAAATGTTCTAATGTGGGACCTGATCAAAAATGGTTGAAAGCACTGCTCATTGGTCCTGAGCATACTCCATGTAACAAAGGCCCTCTTCCCACCATTCCCTCCACCACCAAGGAACACACTCAAGTCTCCTGGGTTGTTTAAAGTCCTGACACCAAAGAGCGAGGCCCCAGCAGATACATCACCTAAGGTTTGATTTCTCAGTTCTCATGTCTTATCTGAAAATCTACCTGTTCCCTCAGTGATTAAACCCAGGCAGCCACAACCACCTATAAGGTCTGCCCTAGCCTGGTAGGAATTTGCACCAAAACCACATTAGACGACAACACATACTCTGAATGTAGCGTAAGTGGCACACAATCATGGCAGCAGGCCATGATTTTGATTCGTCACACAAATCTCTTCACGAAGGTGTTTCTCAAAAGGAACAGTAGCTGTAATAGACGTTAATAAATATGGAAAGCAGGGAC